CCACCACTCTCTACCACCCACCACCACCACTCTCTACACCCACACCACCACTCTCTACCACCACCACCACTCTCTACCACCCACCACCACCCTCTCTACCACCCACCACCACCACTCTCTACCACCCACCACCACCACTCTCTACCACCCACCACCACCACTCTCTACCACCCACCACCACCACTCTCTACCACCACCACCACCACTCTCTACCACCCACCACCACCACTCTCTACCACCCACCACCACCACTCTCTACCACCACCACCACCACTCTCTACCACCCACCACCACATCTCTACCACCCACCACCACCACTCTCTACCACCCCACCACCACTCTCTACCACCCACCACACCACTCTCTACCACCCACCACCACCACTCTCTACCACCCACCACCACCACTCTCTACCACCCACCACCACCACTCCCTCTACACCCACACCACCACTCTCTACCACCCACACCACCACTCTCTACCACCACCAACCACTCTCTACCACACAACCACCACTCTCTACCCACCACCACCACTCTCTACCACACCACCACCACTCCTCTACCACCCACCACCACCACTCTCTACCACCCACCACCACCACTCTCTACCACCCACCACCACCACTCTCTACCACCCACCACCACCACTCTCTACCACACCACCACTCTCTACCACACCACCACTCTCTACCACACCACCACTCTCTACCACCCACCACCACCACTCTCTACCACACTACCGCCACCACCACTACCACCTCGGCGGCAGTAAAAATAAAAATACGAAGCAGCGCTTGCCGGGCCTATCGCGAAACCCCCAAACAAGCCGCTGTTCACGCGGCCACCACCACCGCGGCACCAGACTCGAGACTCATGGAAACTCTCTCGGCGACAACAACGACGACGACAACAACAACAGGCGGTGGTGGTGAAGCCAATGGCTGATCGCCGCGGGCTACAGGGCGCCAGGGCGCTCCATCACTCTCACTGACGCCGCCACTAGCAGCAGCCTGCAGCACCCCCCACCACCACCCACACCACCACCACCACCAACACCACCACCACCAACACCCACCACCCTCACAACGCCGCGCTCACTCCGTGATGTGGCGGCGGCTGCTGCTGCTGCCTCCCCACCACCACACACTACCACACCACCACCACCACCACTCTCTACCACACCACCCCCTACCACACCACCACCACTCCTTATCACACTACCACTCTCTACCTCGCCACCACCACTCCCTACCACACCACCACCACCACCCCCTACCACACCACCACCACCACCCCCCTACCACACCACCAGTACTACCACACCACGACCACTGCCTACCTCGCCACGACCACCACCCCCACTCCCTACCTCACCACCAGCACCACCTCACCACCACTCCCTACCACACCACCAGCACTACCTCACCACCACCAGCACTACCTCACCACCACTCCCTACCACACCACCAGCACTACCTCACCACCACCAGCACTACCTCACCCCCACTCCCTACCACCCCGCCGGGCAGGTTGTGCTCCCCACCCACACCCCGTGCTGCTGCTGCTGCTGCTGCCCGGTGTCGGCCGCCTCAGCCGCGGCTGCCCCCGCCGCCTCGCCTCAACATGGACGAGAGACGCCCTCGACCCTCTCCGCCTCCTGCTGCTGCTGTTCCTGCTGCTGCTGCTGCTCCTGCTGCTGCTGCTCCTGCTGCGACTGCTGCTGCTGCTCCTGCTCCTGCTGCTGCTGCTGCTCCTGCTGCTGCTGTTCCTGCTGCTGCTGCTGCTCCTGCTGCTGCTGCTCCTGCTGCGACTGCTGCTGCTGCTGCTGCTCCTGCTGCTGCTGCTGCTCCTGCTGCTGCTGCTGCTGCTGCTGCTGATGCTCCTGCTGCTGCTGCTGCTCCTGCTGCTGCTGCTCCTGCTGCTGCTGCTGCTCCTGCTGCTGCTGCTGCTCCTGCTGCTGCTGCTCCTGCTGCTGCTGCTGCTCCTGCTGCTGCTGCTCCTGCTGCTGCTGCTCCTGCTGCTGCTGCTGCTCCTGCTGCTGCTGCTCCTGCTGCTGCTGCTCCTGCTGCTGCTCCTGCTCCTGCTGCTGCTGCGACTGCTGCTGCTGCTCCTGCTGCTGCTGCTGCTGCTGCTCCTGCTGCTCCTGCTGCTGCTGCTGCTGCTGCTCCTGCTGCTGCTGCGCCTGCTGCTGCTGCTGCGACTGCTGCTCCTGCTCCTGCTGCTCCTGCTGCTCCTGCTGCTGCTGCTGCTGCTGCTCCTGCTGCTGCCTGCTGCTGCTGCTGCTCCTGCTGCTGCTGCTCCTGCTGCTGCTCCTGCTGCTCCGCTCCCGCCTCCTCCTCTGCTGCTGCTGCTTCTTCAGCCGCCGCCGCGGTGACGTCACCTCGCTACCCCGCCAACACGGGCGGCCATCTTGGGTAGGGAGGGACGGCTCGGAGCCATGTTGGTACGGTGACGTGGGCACCGCCCCCCGCCCTCTCTCCCTGACCGCCCCCCCCCGCCCATCTCGTCCCCCCCCCCCGCCCATCTCCCCGCCCGAGCCCGCAACTGGCCACCGCCACGGGCGGCCATCTTGGGTAGGGACGAGCCCCATGTTGGTCCGGTGAAGTAGGACCCCCCCCCTCCCCGCCAGCCAACCATGTTGGGTAGGGAGGCGGACAGCTCGGAGCCATGTTGGTGCGGTGACGTAAGCCCCGCCCCTGCACAACCCGGGTGGCCATGTTGGGTAGGGGGAGAGCCGGACAGCCCGGCGCCATGTTGGTACGGTGACTTAGGCAGATTGTTATTGCGAGACTGACCATTTTGAGCACAATTACAAAAGCAAGACGCACAAAACAGATATAGGGTGGCTATAGTAACTCGTATATAAACTAATCTGTTAAAATGCAATTTGCTAGTGACGTTATCATAAAGAATCGACGGTGCAGCATGTGATTTAAAATAATCAAGCGATTGCAATTCCGGTTATTTGACGCATGATCTATCAACTGCTGGATGTAGGTCTCCCCAGGCAGCCTACACCCCCCACCGTTGCTGTTCTTGACGCAACCCACTCTGCCCGCCCTGCTAAGACGGGCAATTGAGTGCCGTGCGTCGATTTCATGTCCTGGATACATTAAAAACGAAAGCAAACGTTGAGGGTGTGCGTCTTATAATCCGGTGTGAACATGCCGTGTTTCTATACAAGTTTGGGGTGGTGCGTCTTACATTCTGTACCGGCTTATAATCCGGAGATAACGGTAACAACGCGATTTAAAATGTTATTTTTGGGATATTTCCTGCACGTCATGATGCGCTGACAACGCTGCAAAGCCAACTTCACGCAGTAATCTTCTTGGTTCTTTCGGTAAAGTCGCGTAGAATGGAAATAATAAAGTAATACAAATAAAACATAATAAATTCTCACGACGTTTCGGCCACAACGCAAGCAGCCGTCCTCAGATGAAGACTCTGTCTCCCCGACAGACCTGGTCTTCACCTGAGGACGGCTGCTTGCGTTGTGGCCGAAACGTCGTGAGAAATATTTTATTTTTATTATTCCCTTCTACGTGACTTTACCGAAAGAACCAAGAAGATGAATCCCTGCAGTCACGAAAGCTTTCCATCGAAATTTCACGCAGTAAATTCAGTCGGGGGTTTTTCTTTTTCAAATAACTTTTTATTTCAATTTTACTTCTCACTATACATTTTCCAACGCCGTTCGAGTTATTCACTTAGCTCTGCTATCATTTCCGTTCAAGAACCAGATGATTGGTTTAATTAGCGAGCACCACCGGGACAACAAAGGGTTTGCTGGGACCCAGATGCGAGCTCCTGCCACAGCCTCCAACCGCTCAAGATGGAATGAGCAAACTCACTCACTCCCCCCGTTAATTATCAAGAATCTTTAATCCAACTATCCCCATACGTAGTTTGTATTGTTTCCTCGTTGTGTAGAATTTTCATCTTTTTTGTGTTTCACTATTAATATTATGGCCCGTGTTGGGTGGCGGCGGATTGTGGCAGATTTGCCGTCGGGTGTTGAAGCAAAAATGACATGGACTTGAAAATTTTAAATCGCCAAAGACACGAAGAGATGATATCCACTGCGACATGTTGGAGCCGCTTAAAAGTGGGCCTCGCCAAGCGTGGCGGAGTTAATATCGACACCTCACCACCTCAATATAATATATCCTCGTGTGATTCCCCAATCACTACCTACGCCCGGTATCGTTTCACACACTCCAGGTGGATGATTCTTATACTGGCACCACCACACAGGCTAGAAGGCTCTCGGGATAAGGTTCGCCAAGCCACAGAGATGCAGATTAGTCAATGAGCTTATAGCGCCAAGCGAGACGCATTCCTAAGGGATGTGCAGCGCAAGAGAGATGAAGACAAGAGATTAGGACTCGTGAGATGACAAGATCTTCTTGGTACTTTCCGTAAAGTCACGTAGAATGGAAATAATAAAATAAAACAATTCTCACGACGTTTCGGCCACAATGCAAGCAGCCGTCCTCAGGTGAAGACCTGAGGACGGCTGCTTGCGTGAAGACTTGGTCTTTACCTGAGGACGGCTGCTTGCGTGGTGGCCGAAACGTCGTGAGAATATTTTATAATGTTTTATTTTATTATTTCCATTCTACGTGACTTTACCGAAAGAACCAAGAAGATGAATCCCTGCAGTCACGAAAGAAGCTTCACATCGAAAAAGAGATGACAAGAGTTAAGCAAGAGAAAGATGAGAGACCTGGAGAGACTAGAGGCACACAATTAATTAAGCATATCCATCTTCTTGGTTCTTTCGGTAAAGTCACGTAGAAGGGAAGTAATAAAAGAATAAAAATAAAACATAATAAAACAATTCTCACGACGTTTCGGCCACAACGCAAGCAGCCGTCCTCAGGTGAAAACAGGTCCGTCGAGGCGACAGAGTCTTCAGGTCCGTCGAGGCGACAGAGTCTTCAGGACTGTCGCCTCGACGGACCTGGTTTTCACCTGAGGACGGCTGCTTGCGTTGTGGCCGAAACGTCGTGAGAATAATTTTATTATGTTTAATTTTTATTATTTTATTACTTCCCTTCTACGTGACTTTACAGAAAGAACCAAGAAGATGAATCCCTGCAGTCACGAAAGCTTTAAATCAAAATTTAAGCATATCCAATTGTTGCCAACCGTGAGGTTTAATCGAAGGTTTAAAAACAGTAAAACGGCCAAAACGAGAAGCTAATTTCAGACTGAGCGGAGGTCCCGGATGAGGAACCTTGAGAACAAATTAATGGGACCGATCATGGGTCCTTCAACAAGGTGTGGTGGGGGTCACCGATACTCAAAGCTCCCCATACACTTGCCGAACAATGATAAAATGCCGTTCCACTCGGGCCCTCACCTTTTAAATCAAGTACAAAAATTAACAATTAAGTAAATCATCTGCAAACAATGCCACGTTCCCTTCAACGGCCGGGCTCTTCTCAACACAATCTGCCGCAAACGGTTATCGTCGAGACATTGACCGTTGACAGGGGCGTTCTGTAAAACCTGATAATCCACACGATCTCAAGAGTTAATAAAGCCGGAGTGGGCTTCTGTTAAGTGGAGAAAAGAATAATTAAATTATGCGCGGCCATTCTGTGGGGGGAGACGTTACAATAAAACTACCAAAAAAATCGACTGTAAACATTCAAATGAAGCTAGCGAGCGTGGGTTGTCTTCAGAAATAAACGGGAACTGTGTGGGGGTGGTTACGAGGCCTTTCCGGGGACACTGATCAAATTGTCGCGCGTGCCCGTCTCGGTCAACGTTTAGAGGAAGGTAAAACCTGAACATGGCTGCGATTTTGCAAAGCCTGGGGCGACGCGTCGAATGATCCCCCCCCCCCACCCCTGCTACCAGGCCGGAGGTTTGCTCGTGGCAAAAAAAAAAGGTTTTAAAAGCCACGATCTGCAGTGGCACCGCCACTCCCCAGCGCGACTTGCAGTGCATTGTAGGAGCCGGCACGAGAGCCACACAACCACGTGTGCCGGTGCAATTGTGGGATCCAGCCATGTTAAAGCAATGGAAGTTTGCGCATGCCATGGGATTAGTTTTTTTTAACGCAAAGTGAACTCTTGGTCCAGAAAGGTGAACCACTGTCGCCTCTCTCTTGCTTTTATTTACAAGGAGCGCATTTTGACCGTCACGCCGCTGCGAACCAATCGCCGATTCGTAGCCAAAGCAAAAAGGACACCAGACTCGTGTTTAGTCGGCGGGAGGGGACGACGCAGCGTTTGGCAGAACGCCGCGGCGTTATGAACCCCGGCGACTCCGAACTTGATTCTCGGCGGTGGCCAACAACCCCCGTACGGACGGACCGACTGGTAAGGCCCACGACCGACGCGACACGTGGGGAGGAGGGTGCGTATTCGTCTGCGAGTGGATTGATAAAAAGGGGGAGGAGAGGGCTGTAAACACAACTCGGCGCGAGCGCGCGCGTTTTCAAGCTGCGTCTACCCGTTAAGCAAGTCAGTCAGGACGATGGGCTCGGTACGGACAACCCTTACAAGGGGGCGTGCTTTCGTCGATTAGACGAAATAACATTCCAGCAGCGATGGGCAACCGCTCATGGGCACTGCCAGCCCAGATCCACAGGTCGAAATTCCACATTCCTCGGGCTTGAGGACCAGTCTCTTGATATAAGCACTGCTGTGTATATCCTACAGAGTGGTGCTACTCACTTCATTGATCCAAGGGTGATGATTTGACAAAGATGAGGAATTAAACCCCCCAAATGGGATTTGTGATTCGCAACTTTTTTGCTCACGAGTTAAACTTTTTTTTTCTTTACCACGGCAACCGCGTGGCCAAGAATTTTGCGTCTGTTTCACGAGTTATAATTTGTGGCGTCCATCTGACTCGCTCTCCCAGGAGTGGCAATGATTTGTGTGCTCCACCCTGACTGTTGGGTGGCAGGCTTAAATAGCCATCTTGCTACTAAATTACAAAGAGCAGGTTTGTACAGGGCCACGAGACGTTTTAAAAAAAAACTGAAATATAACAAAAAGTTAAATGTATCTTGTCGGGAATTAAAAAAATGTGCTCCACAGTTGTCCACTTCTTACTTGTAGCAGATCTGAAAAGTGAAAGAATGGAAACACGATGGTAAGAAGCGGTGAGCATGGGATGCGACTTAATGGACTCATTTATTTGATGCGTGTGCCTATCGTTTCAGTGCCATTTCTTGCTTATTCAATTTATTTTCTGACAGTTTTCATTTGCTCGGCAAGCCACTATAAATAATAGGATGTGGCACTCGTATATAATCAACATACAGCGTTGTGAGATGCAATAGCATGAACGACGCTAATAAATGTAATTTTAATCACATTTGTTGGTAAAACTGTTACGTTGTTTATATAGCATTGTTTTAGTAAGTGTTTGAGGAGCTTGGTTTGGCCCGATTTTTTATTTAGTATATATTATACTTAATTTTTTTATCTGTATTATATTATGATTGTTATTGGGATCAAACATAGAAATATAATTTTTTTGCACTTTCTGTACGCAGCATGGACGGGTTGTGCTTTTTCTGTAGGATTTTATTGTTTACTACGTATGTGATGTTCAGATTTGTGTACAATTAATTTTAGGTGTATCTTGTAATTGTATTGCTTGTTGCGGTTGAACCCAAATCAAGAGCCGAATGGCTCACAGGCTAAATCCTAATAAATTCAACTGAAACTGAAGGTCTACATTCTAACATGGAGAGCAGGTGGGTTAAGTGAATACAACAAACTACAACATCGGCCAGTTGCTCTTAAACTAGTCCTGAATACCTCCAAAACCAAGGTGCTATGCTTGTCACCAGGACTAAAGCAGAAGCTAGTATTCCCCAATTACATTCCTTAAATAATAATCAAAGAGCAAGTCAAGATCTATAAGTATCTTGGGGTCATCTTGATTCAAAACTGAATTTTCAAGATCACATTGATTATTATTGGCAAAAATACAAAGTAAAAAAATTGTGTTTTGGTATCGACACAAGCACTGCTTCCCCCCTATGTTCCGTTTGGAATTGATAAAAGCTACCATACACTGCCTCTACTTGATTACTGTGACATCGTATATGAATCAGCCCCAAGTACTGAACTGAAGAAGCTGACCCAATGTATCACTCGGCCTTAAGATTTGCATTGAACTGCCCATATAGGACCCACCACTGCGATCTCTACATTGGGTCAAACTTAACATCTCGGAATGATCGACGGCTTGTGCATCAGATCTCATTTATTCACGATGTACTTACAACAAAATCAGCAGACTACCTGCTGGATCTCCTCACTGTTTCAAAGAACAAATTGTGACCATAAGGTCCTCACTCATTACCAGCTTCACATTCCTTATTGGGGTACAAATACTGAAGAAAGGGCCTTGCTGTTGATGCCCCAGGGTCTGGGAATGATATTGCCATAAACTGCAACTTGGAGAGAATAGAACAAGCCAAAAAAGGCTGTGTGTGTCCCGAGCGTGACGTCACTCCATGCACCCCCCCCTCATTAGTATTCGTGTATTCCTGGATTTTTAAATCCTTTATATTAAGTTCACTTGCTTGCTTGCTTGCGCGCTTACGACCGTGATTTGAAAAGTGCCAAATTACGGGTTTTTTCACATTTCCAGCTACAGATATTGTTGGTCTTTGCAACCGAGGTGAAATCGTCTTCATCCCGAGACTCGACCCAGACACAAGCGATGTCACTCTTCCTTTCGTACTGAAACCGACGACAAATTACGATAATTCCTGCGTATGTGATGACGATCAACAAGTTATATGGGGGTCAGACTTTTGAAATTTGGGTATTTATCTCAATTTTCTCCCAGGGCCAGTTGTACGTGTCTCTGTCTAGATCTAAATATCCTCAGCGGACCCAAAGTGTTCATTCAAGGATAGCCCAACTGCAGGGAAACCTTTTTAAGTGATAATCTCGTATACCGAGCAATCGTCCAAAGTCCTTAATTTATTTAAATAAGTTAAGAAAAATGTCTTTGTGCTAAATTTCCTAATAAAATTATCAATCGCACAATAAACGTTAATTTACATCTTTAATATTACAGCTTCCGTCTCATATTAGACAAGCTAACAAGCTTGTCTAATATACAAATCATATGCGGGAGATGGCAACAGCTTGCGGAAGCCTTCAATCCAGCAGTGAATTGATGATGTGCAAGTTGTTGGGCTTGTGTCTGTGTGTGTGGTGTGTGTGTGTCTGTGTGTGTGTGGGTGGGTGTGTGTGTGTGTGTGTGTCTGTGTGTGTGTGTCTGTGTGTGTCTGTGTGTGTGTGTGTCTGTGGTGTCTGTGTGTGTGTGGTGGTGTGTGTGTGGTGTGTGGGTGTGTCTGTGTGTGTGTGGTGTGTGTGTTTGTGTGTGTGTGGGTGTGTGGTGTTGTGTGTGTGTGTCTGTGTGTGTGGTGGTGTGGTGTGTGTGTGTCTGTGTGTGTGTGGTGTGTGTCTGTGTGTGTCTGTGTGTGTGGTGTGTGTGTGTCTGTGTGTGTCTGTGTGTGTGTGTCTGTGTGTGGTGTGTGTGTCTGTGTGTGGTGGTGTGTGTGTGGTGTGTGGGTGTGTGTGTGGTGTGGTTGTGTGTGTGGTGTGGTGTGTGTGTGTGTGTGGCTGTGTGGTGTGTGTGTGTGTGTGTGTGTGTCTGTTGTGTGTGTGGTGTGTGTGTGGTGTGGTGTGTCTTGTGTGTGTGTGTGGTGTGTGTGTTGTGTGTGTGTGTGTGTGTGGTGTGTGTGTGTGTGTGTCTGTGTGGTGTGTGGTGTGGTGTGTGTGTGTGTGCTGGTGTGTGTGTGTCTGTGTGGTGTGTGTGTGTCTGTGTGGTGTGTGTGTGCTGTTGGTGTGTGGTGTGTCTGTGTGTGTGTGGGTGGTGTGTGGTGTGTGTGTGTGTGGTGTGTGGTGGGTGTGTGTCATGGTGTGTGTGGTGTGTGTGTGTGGTGTGTGTGTGTCTGTGTGTGTGTGGTGTGTGTGTGTGTGTGTGTGTGTGTGTGTGGTGTGTGTGTGTGTCTGTGTGTGTGTGGTGTGTGTGTGTCTGTGTGTGTGTGGTGTGTGTGTGTGATGGTGTGTGTCTGTGTTTGTGTGTGTGACCTCACCTGTGGTACATACGAGTCCTGTCCGGCCTCTTGTAATGAACGTACTGCAAAAATAAATAGACAAGGCACAAGTGCGACCATTAACGTCGCGCCACTGGACAAGCACACACGCGGCCACTCGCGCCTGCTATGATATTAATAACGCCTGCTATGATATTAATAACGCCTGCTACTATTGGACGCAACCGGGGAATATGTAACACAAAGTTGTTGAGCAATTTTTGCGATTTAAAGCTTTCGTGACTGCATGGATCCATATTCTTGGTTCTTTCGGTAAAGTCACGTAGAAGGAAAATAATAAAATTATAATACATAAGATAAAATTCTCACGACGTTTCGGCCACAACGCAAGCAGCCGTCCTCAGGCGAAGAACAGGGCTGTCGGAAAGACAGCGTCCTAATGAACACTGCTAAGCTTGGCAGCGTATTTTTTTTGTTGAGCAATATCGTGGACAAAGATATTGCTCAACAAAAGTGCCACAGAGGAAAGGGTTGGTTGGAGCGTGGGGAGACTGTGTGGGTCGTAGCGGCAAGCGCTGTGCGAAGAAACGCTCGTTCCTACGTACGTGAGTGACCGTGTACTCGTCAGACTTGTCCTTGATCTTGAAAGGGTGATGGATGCCCTCCGTACTCTGCGGGATCGTTTCCTCGTCACCCTCATCGTCCGACGTCACGGGCACGTTTACTGGCTTGTCATCGTCCAGACTGTCCGCGATCATCTGGCAACGCTGCGATGGCAAAAACATCGTGCAGCTTACTACACCAGCTGCAGCATATGCTGCACATGCATACACTTCCTCTTCCACGCGGTTATTCCATTCATGTCGGGGATTGCGCTGTCTTTGCCAAACTGATCCACGCTGCCCTGTCCTGCGCCATCTCTCTTTCCGCTCCTCGGGCCACCGTGTCCATCGCACCACATCGCCCACCACTTTTGATGCCTTCCCCTTGATCTATTTCCTTCCACTTGCATCACTTGCACCTTCTGACCCAGCAGCCTTTTCCTGTTGTCTCCAACATGAACCACAGCACAGCCTTTTCTCTCTCATCTTCTCTGCGATTTCTACCACTTCATTTCTCACGCCCCTGTCCCTTCCTTGTTCAACCCAACATCCACCGAACATCCTCATCTCTGCGACTGCCGTAGCTGGGTCCTCCCTCGTTCTTGTGCACCAGCCCTCCGCCCCATACAACAGCACCAGCCTCACCCTTTCACCCAAACTGGGACCCTCTTAGAACACCACGCACCAGGCCTCTCTCGCCATTGAGCCATCCAGCCCTTGTTCTTATTCCTCAACTCTCCTTCCAGTGATCCATCGGAACCACACCGTTGCACCAGGAGCTTATTCCTCTTCATTAACTGGTCACTTCCAATTTACAATCCTCCTTTTGCAATTATTTACTTTGCAATTTGCCACCGTGTACTCTGTCTTTGTCAACTGAGCCTCAACCCATTCCCTTCAATATTTTGTAACCATATCTTCAAATCATCTTCCACTATCCCCTGCTTTCACCGCATAGCACAATATTGTCTGCAACAGCATCCACACAGGGAGGCTTCCAATCCTGAATATCTGCGTGCCCTAACATGCACTACACAGTCCTCCCTAACTCATTCTTCGGACGTGGGGAGCTGTCGACGGTGGGAGTGGGCCTGTCGTTTTCTCGCAGCGAGCCGGAACAGGCTCCTCTCCTCTGTCAGCCTGGGTCTCTGGGGAGGTCCGGACCGTGTACCCAATGCAGCCATTGAAGCTGCATAAGCCACAGTCATGAACCTCGGCCATTTCCCCCTCGCCAGTCATGAGGCAGGATTGATGCCAACCCCCAGCTCCCAAGCAATGCTGAAAATCTCACTTGCAACTTTCATCAGCCAACCAAGACCAGGCTATTGTGATGCATCACGCATGCGACACATCACGCACGCAACACACCACTCTCTCCACGACACCCACAGACAGCTCGCACGTCGTGCAGGCAAGCACGCACGCTCCCCTGCGTCAACTCTTGTATCGTGTTCATCATGTGGTCCTTGTTCACTCCGGCCACCACTGCTAGAAGCTTCTCAACGTCGGCTGGTTGTTGTTGCCGCCGCCACCGCCACCGCCCGCCGCCGCCACCACCACCCATACTGCTCATACTGCTCATACTGCTCATAGTGCCCATACCGCACATGCCGCCCATGCTGGCCATGCCGGCCATGTTGGCAATGTTGGCCATACTGGCCATGTTGCCCATCCCGCCCATGCCGCCCATGCCGCCGTGACCGAACATGGCCGCGAACGGGAAGGGGTTGCCCATTCCTGTTCCTCCTCCGCCTCCACCCATGTGGCCGGTGGGCAGCGCCTGCTGGTTGGCGAGCTGGATGGCGAGCGCCGCCAGGGGATCGGCGTGGGAGGGGAATTGGGCGACGGCTGGTACGGCTGCTGAGGTGGCGGCGGAGGCGGCGGCGGCTGGTTCATGATGAGCGGCAAGAGCGCCGCGGCCGGTCCGATGGAGTTCATGATGCCCACGCTCACCTTGTAGCGTGAAAGGGGGAGGGGGGGGGATAGGACGGGCAGATTCACGAGATTTATTTGAGTTAATTTCCCCCCACGGCACGCGATTAAGAATTCATTCGGATCTCTCGAAGGGCGACCCCCGTCTTGTTTGAGAACGGCCCACGAAGCGAAAGTCACAGAGCTACCTCCGAGACCCCGTCAAGTGTCCTCTGGTCTAGACAGCGATAGGAGAGGGAGGGGGGGGCTGCATTTCCCCCCTGCTCGCTCTTTCAAACGAGAGTACCGTTTGTCTCATGAAAGTCAAGCCGATATTTTAAAGTCTTAAAAGAGGTGGGGGAATTCGGCCAAACTAAGTGCACAACTGCGGGCCAGGCCATGCTTCCCTCGCCACTGCCCCCGCACATAAACGTAACACGGCACCAGGGCCAGCGCGCCTCCAAGCGTCACTCCTCTTTCCCACCGTTCCTGGCCCCGACGACTTTCCCACCCGCAACTCTCACCGCTGCGGCACCACTGGGGCAATAGCGGCGACGTGGCTTTGCTCATCCTCACCTTAGGGTTCACCACCGTCGAATTGGCCCGAGCAATCTCCAACAGCTGAGCTTTGTCTGCAGACACCCACACACAAATACACGACCACTTTAACTTTATGGTATTATTACACTTGTTTACCCAGGAAACCACCACAAAATCACAACTCTTTTACAGGACGGTCCGGCCAAGTTTGCGAAGTAACGAGCCAAAGTTGCCACGCGCGATCCCAAATTAGTAATTTGCTGGTAATTTTTCGGCATTGTGACGTTTGTACCAACACCAGTTACAATTTCGATTTAAAGCTTTCGTGACTGCAGGGATTCATCTTCTTGGTTCTTTCGGTAAAGTCACGTAGAAGGGAAATAATGAAATAATAAAAATAAAATATACTAAAATAATTCTACGTGACTTTACCGAAAGAACCAAGAAGACCATTTACAATGTATGCTTATGCTTCAGCTGCGAGGAGGAATCCAGCATATCTGGAGGGAAACCAATACAGAAAGCTGCCCGAGTAGAACATTTTACCCAGGCCCTTTCTTGGCGCGAGATGGGAGTTACCAGCTGCGTGCGTCACCACCCGTCCGCCCGCCCGCCCGCGCCCCCAGGAATGCAATACCTTGTAAAGTATTCCCTCGTTATTTGCAAGGGATATGTTCCGGAGATGCTTGTGAATAGCAAATGTTGCGGGATAAATGGTATTGGCCTTCGAAAACCTCAAAAAAGATTTTGAATGCATTACGTTAATATAAACTATCAAATGCATGACAATTATAAAAATAAATGTCAAAATATGAATATCTCATCACATTATATGTCATCACCATCTCGCATCACATTCTCTCTCATCACTTTCGTTCTCTCTCTCCCGATGCAGCAGTCATGCAGAGTTCCAGATGCGATTCGCGGACCGCTAAATTCGCGGACAGCGAGTTCGTGAATAACGTGGGGATACTGTACAACAGTCAAGAGTCATAAAGGCAGCGATTTCCTGCTCTCATGAGCATCGATGCATTGGGCTCTCATGTCCTGTTCACAGCCCTGCGCAGAGCCAATGGTGGAAGTTCCACAACCCAAGACAACATTCGGTTCTTTGTAGTATGACTAAAGCATGATGCGTATGCGTGCGTGGAACCTGTAACTCTTTCCAACAAGCATTGGTTTTAGATTGGCTCGGCTGGCTAACGTACTGTGCGAAAGAAGTTGGACATACATACGTCCAATAAATCGGTGGTGACGAAGCATTGTAAGTCACACGAGATGTTGTCCCGCGTAATAATGTCATCTTCCTGGCCGACAAGCGCCGTTTCAAGGAAGCAAGACGCAGATTTACAACTGCCGCACGAACCCGCGTCGTTTGGACGATGAAACAAAATGGCACAACACCAGGGATGACCACCCCCCACCCCAACTCACCCTCCTCGGAGAGGCGCAGCGGCGACAGGCTGGGCTCCCTCCTCCTCATCGGCGACCTCCGCCGTCGCATCCTGAAGGGGCTCACCCGAAACCCGCGCCGCGCCGGGCCTCGCGACCTCGACCGCGACTTGCGGCGCCCCTCCTGCGCCTTCTCCTCTCCCGCCGCCTTCTTCTCGGCGTCGCCGCCGGCGCCGGCACCGGCACCGCCGGCGTCGGTGGCGGCGGCCGCCTCCGTTGCCTTGCCGTCGCCCGCCTCTTTGTCGGACTTGTCACGCGAGCGCCGCCTTTTGCCCCCGGCGGCGTCGTCGTGCGACGCTCGCTTTGCCCCGCGGGAGCGCGAGCGCGCGGCGCGTCGCGTCCCTTCGCGGGGGGAGCGGGAGCGGCCCAGGCGCCGGCGTGCGATCGCCCCCCTCGAGCGCGAGCGAGACCTCCGGCGGAGACCCCGGGACCGCGATCGCGACCTCCGCTTGGCGTCGCGCGACCGGGACGCAGACCTCCGCTTGGCGTCCCGCGATCGGGACACAGACCTCCGCTTGGCGTCCCGTGACCGGGACACAGACCTCCGCTTGGCGTCGCGCGACCGCGACGCCGACCGCTTCTTCACCTCCCTCGATCGGGATCGAGATTTCCTCTTGGTTTCCCGGGATCTGGATCGGGATTTCTTCTTCACGTCACGAGAACGGGACACCGATACCCTCTTGGCTTCCCGGGATCGGGAGCGGGATTTGCGCTTGGTCTCCCGGGATCGGGATGCCGACCTCCTCTTGGCATCTCGCGTTCGAGACGCCGACCTCCTCTTGGCCTCCCGGGAGCGCGACCTCCGCCTCGCGTCCCGCGGCCGAGCGGCTGCCGCATCCTTGCGATCCCGCGAGCGCGAGCGGCTCCTGCGCTTCTTTTCAGCCGACTCCCTCCTCTTGCGGTCGCGGGAACGAGAGCGGCCCTTCGTGGCGTCGCTCCGATCGCCGGCACGGGCGGAGTCCGCCGGCGTCCTGTGCCTCGAGTCCGAGCGCGAACGCTTCCTCTGCACGGCCGCGCGCGCGGGCTCGGCGACTCCTGACGCCGCTTGGGCGAGCGGCTGCCAGAGCCGGAGTCCCTCTTGCGTTTCTCAGCTTCCTTGCTCGTATCGGCGGCCTCTCCCGGAAGACGATCGTCCGTCGACGCCGTGGTGAGGTCAGACAATTTTGACTCCTCGGTATCGGAAGAATCTTTTGGTTCTTTGCAGACAGATACGGCTTCTGTGGTTTTAATCGGCGAAGTATCTTTAGGTGCTTCATCTTTCGAAAAGGAATCTTCTTCTTTTACGGTGGCATCATTTGACGCGACTCCCGCTGCCTTGTGTGGGTCCAAGGTGTCATCTTTTTCTCCAGCAAGTGGCTTCTTCACATCGTCGTTTCCGACGGAAATCTGAAGCTTCACATCCTCCGCTTTTCCCGCATTTCCTCCGCCATCATTTGTCGAGCCGTCACCGGGTTCCACCTTTATCGCCACATCATTCGCCACATCATTCGCCACAGCCTCCCCTCCACTCGGCCGTTCCACACCAGCTTCCTCCGCTTCCGCCTTTACCACCTTCCCCCCCACTTCAACCACTCCCTCATCAGCGCGTTCAATCTTCAATCCCTCCACTTTGAGGCACTCCTTGCCGGGCGAGTGAGAACGAGAGCGAGCCTCGGCGCCCCTTGCAGCGACGTCGCTCTCCTCCGTGGATGCCTTCTTGCCACCGTCCGGCGAGGCGGAGCGGGACCTCCCGCCGCGGCCCGGCGACGCAGACCCGCTTCTCGCCTTCTGCTTGCGATCGCGCGACGCCGATCTCGACTTGAGCACTCGCTTGGCGCGATCGCGCGACGCCGATCTCGACTTGTGTTTACGACCGCGATCGCGCGATGCCGACCTCGATTTCACCGCTCTCTTTGTGCGGTCGCGCGACGCCGATCTCGACCTGTGCCTACGGTTGCGATCGCGAGATGGCGACCTGGACTTAACCCTCTTGTTGCGATCGCGAGATACAGACCTGGATTTAACCCTCTTGCTGCGATCGCGAGATACAGATCTCGACCTGTGTTTACGATTGAAGTCGCGAGACGGCGTCTTGGATTTCGCCCTCCTGTTGCGATCGCGCGACGCAGACCTCGATTTCACTCTCCTGTTGCGATCCCGAGATAATGATCTTGACTTCTGCCTTCGGATGCGATCTCTCGACACCGACCTCGATTTCGCTCTCCTGTTGCGATCTCGCGACAAAGTCCTCGACTTCTGCCTCCGCGTTCGATCCCGCGACACCGACCTGGACTTCCCTCTCCGGCCTCGATCGCGCGACGTCTGCCTCCGGCCACGGTCGCGAGAAGGCGGCAGCAGCGGCGTCGCCGCCCTCGCCCCCCTCGCCCGCCTCCCGGTGGACGGCGTGCGAGACCTCGCCCGCAGGCCCCGATTCCTCGGGGGCGGCGGCGACGGGGAGCGCGAACGGTTCCGCTCGCGCCGGTTCCGCTCGCGAGACGCGGAGCGGCCCCCCTCCCCTGCGGAGCCGGTCGCGAGACGCGGAGCGAGACTTGGCGCGGACGTCGCGAGGCCGCTGGGCCGACCGCGAGCGGCTGCGCGGCTTGCGGTTCCTCGAGGCCGACCGCGAGTCCCTCCTCTGCCGGTCCCGCCCCGAGCCCTTCGCCTGCCGCTCCCTCGAGCG